AAGCTCAAACTTGGCGTGCAAGTCAGACGACATGTTTCCCAAAACAAAAACAAAAAAGGAAAGCAGGATACCTCCTTGCCATGGGAAATCAAAAGGGGAATAAAAAAATACTTCCCCCTTGCTGTAGAAAATCAAAACAAGGAAGAAAGGCTCCTTCCTTGCCGTGGGAAAACAAAAATAAGGAAGAAAGACTCCTTCCTCTCCGTGGAAAATCAAAACAAGGAAGAAAAAAAGACTCCTTCCTTGCTGTGGAAAACAAAAGAAGAAAGAAAAATACCCTCTTTGCCATGGGAAGGAAAAAGGGAAAGGAAAATACACATCCTACTCACTCAAGGACAAGCGTTAAAACTTTCCAAAACCTTAAAGGAAATCATCAAAAGCTTTCCAACACTTTGAAGAAAGTCACCCTCGTTACCAAAATTGAAGGGGATTCCTATTGAAGGAAGGAAAACATTTTTCCTACAACCACAAGGAAAAATTCAAAATGCACCAAATGCATTTTGTCAAAGATTATGGAAAATCAACTACGTACAATAAGTATGTGCCGATTTATCCATTTTTTAAATTTCTTTCAAGATCAAGCATCTATAACCCTTGAAGAAAAAAAAATTCATTTCTATTCAAGACCAAGCCTCAACGGCCCTTGAAGAAATGTTTCGTTCAAGATCAAGTCTCTACGGCCCTTGAAAAAATCCATCACTTCAGTCTTCATTCAAGATCAAGCCTCTACGGCCCTTGAAGAAAACTTTCATTACAATTCAAGATCAAGCTTCAACGGCCCTTGACGAAATCCATCACTTCATTCAAGATCAAGTCTCTACGACCCTTGAACAATGTCATTTCAATTCAAGATCAAGCCTCAATAGCCCTTGAAGAAATGTTTTGTTCAAGAAACACGCCTTAACGGCCCTTGACAAAATTCATCGTCTCGATTCAAGAAATACGCCTCTATGGCCCTTGAAGAAACAAACTTGTTCAAGACCAAGTCTCGATGACCCTTGAGTTAGAACATTCACATTGCAGGACTTCAAAACATGTTTCCTACATGTGACAAGCACATGCCTACAACGTGCCTTGAAGTGGGGAATTTGTAGACATGTAAATTTCGTTGCATACAAAAAATGCATTGCACAGCTCCACATGGCATATGACTCATCACAAATGGACAAGTCATTAATGACATGTGGCACAAATCAAGTAAGGGAAGTATAAAATATTCCCAAAATTCGGCTAAAGGGAGAAAACTCCTTTAAATTTGGCAAAAAGGCCCAAATTGCTCTCAAAATCGGAAATAAAGTTAAGGCATCTTCATAAAACAAGCAAGAATTAAAGATTGCTCACAAAATAGGCAACAAGGCCTCATAATTTCGGCCAAATGAGTAAAGTGGCTGAAATTATGACACAAAACATGCCTAAATTCTCTCATGGACGAATCAAGACACAAATCAAGGCCAAATCCACCCAAAGGCAAGCCTTGAGAAGCCTATAAATACAAGGTCATCCCACAAGCATAAGGGTCGAAAAATCTCTACACAAAAGAACCTTTGCCAAACCTTTGAAGACTAATACGCTGCCAAAGCTCTCTTCGAAGAACATTCAACCAAAGTCAAAGCACTTCCTTGAAGAATCAACAAGCGCTTGTGCCAATTCCTTCAAGACTTTGTTGCAAGCTTATAAACTTGTAGCAATGTTCATTTCAAGATTAAGTCACCAAGACCCTTGAAGCAGCGAAATCCCGCATCAAACACCACCTTTGCCGCATCCTTAAGGTGAAGATCATACACGCGTTGTTTTCAAGCTCAAAACTTGAAGCAATCGTTCAACCGTTCATACGAGATCAAGTCATCGCGACCCTTGGATCAACAGTCACGCATCTACATCAAATTTGAAGACTGAATCAGAAGAAAATTGTAAACAGAGATTGTAACCTACAAATTTATCAATACAAATCTATTTTGTACATGTGTTCTTGTTTCATTTGATACGGAATTTTCGTGTTTACACAATCTTAAAAAAAATATATATATATATATAACTAATCTACTATTGTGACAAGTGTCGACAATTCAATACATCACATCCTTTCATTATATAATAGTCACATTACTCGTATGTGGCTTTTTGACAAAAACACGTAAATTTTTAACGAAAATCTTAATGATATTAATGATGGCTATATTTTGGCACAAATAGGAAGAACTTCGGCTATCGTATTAGCAGTAAGTTCTTAACATGAACTTGAAGCATTTTACCCAAGCTCCGTTTATAAGTTATCAGTTTGGCGTACATGCCTACCCAAAACTATCAGTTTGGATAGTCATTGCCCAAAAGAAGTCAGAAAAAAAAAAAGGGAATTTTAACGAAAAGCTTCCAGTACTGTTCACTTTAACGAAAAACCACATTTTTACACTAAAAAGTCAATCCTGTTACCATTCACTTTACCCTTTATTTTGTCCTTATCATTAAAACTCAAAGTTTTCAAGCCATTTTCATTAGTTTTCCTAAAAAAAATGAATGAGTAATGCCAAAGAAACTAAATTTGGAGATTAAATTTACAAACTAAAGGATGTGTTACCAATAGAAATAAACACATATATCAACGTTTAAATAATAAACCAATTATCAACATTTAAGTCTTTTTATTTGTAAAATTTAGCTTACAAATTTAATTTCTTTAACATTACTCAATATAAATAATGGATGGCATCTAACATAATGTTATTGTTTTTTTCTCAAAAGGTGGATAATTGACTATTTAAATGCGATACCAATTAGCTGCTTTTTGCTAACAGCTTTTTTATTCTTAGTTTGATGACGTGAAAAGAATAAAAGAAAGCCAAAACCTGTAGCAGCCACATCAGAATGTACGGACACGGCCACGAGGCCTTCAGGTGGGGAGACCTGATGGGGGACAAAATTTGTCACTTTACACGGGATTTATTGTTTTCCTTTTCTCTTTTTCAGGCATTTGAAACGGTGTTTCAGTTTTCTGTTTTGTTGTGTTGCACAATTTTCTTTTGTTTTTCTGATCAAATTAGTTAAATTAAACAGATGCTCTCATTCATTATACTAAAAAGTATACAATGTATGAGTAATGCTAGGTAGAATGATAGGTTAATTTTTTAGATTAAATTTGTAAATTATGTGATGCATTACCAATATAAAATAAGTACATTAATCAACAGATAATCTAATCACGTCATATAGTTTACAAAATATGGTTTGAATAAATAATCTTTCTAGCATTACACATAATGCACGCAGTAGAAAGGCCATGTGATGGAAGGCATCTAAACCCTAAACCCTATACAAGCTAGCAGTATACACTCTTATCATGGTATGAGACTTTAAGCTTCACATACTTCTAGTTTTGTATGAAATCTCATTTTCATTGGTTATAGAGAGTTCGCTATGTATGAGGCTCAATGGCCCATGTGCTTAAAGTTCAAATTATCCACGTAAGTTAGGCTCGAAAAGTTATGTCATATGAGGGGATGCGTGACAATGTAAAAAAATGTCTCACATTACATTATGCTATTAAGAAACCTTTCATAAACTTATAAGGAATTAAGGGCATTTTTACTTAATAGAAATGGAAAAAAAACGTAGAGATATGGGAAGTAAGCAAAGAGAATTTGATCAGCACTCCTCCTCCTCTTTCTCTGATTAAGGATTTCAATGGGAAGCTCACACTTTTTCGACTTCATTTGTGTAAGTAAACAAATGGAAAAGTTAGAGTGAAATGATTGTTCTCATAACCATATTTTAATAAACATAGGAAACTCAAAAATCAAAATGATTCCATGCCTGATTCCTTGCAAGTAAACATTCCCTAAGTTACTTCGTACATTGCCAACACTACTAAAAAAATGGCTTTCGCAATGATAATGCCCGCAAAAACTTTCACCGGGAAAGGTCAAATTTTGTCGGTAAAGATCAACTTTCGCCGAGAAAGATGTTGCCAAGAATCAATTTTAGGTTGCAACCTCAACTTCCTTCAATTAACATGATTTTATTTAACACAAGTGATAGATTGCCTTCAAAGCCCTTCAATGTAACCAACCAAAAAAATTGGCAATGATTTAAAGACTTATAATGAGTGTGGGTGCATGAGTCCATAACAACAAGAAGAGGATACCCTCATCCTCCCAACACCCAAAACAAAGTTAGGGTTTTTTTATGAAGACGGCGATGTGTAACTGCGGCCACATTGGTTCAGTACTGTACACTCAGCATCTACCAATCAAAATGTAAAGATTGTAAAAACTTGGAGAACCAATAGAGTCTAGGCTCACCAATGTTCCTTATATAAACCCTACTTTCGCTTTACCATCCGTGGTTCATAGCTTCCTAACTCTGATACTTCTCACGCGCACGCACAAGGGGCCAAACGCATAGGGTCTTCGCTATGGTGTTAGATCTCAAGCATATAAACGCTCTTTTTTCTGGTTTTTTTTTCTCTGCTTTTTCACAAATTTCGTATTCTGCTCGTTTTATCTCTAATCCTAATGTTAATTTGTTCTAATTTTTCCCTCCTTTTCAACCTTACTGGATTCCAACGGGATTTTCTTCTGAATATAACCATTTCTGTGGCATCTGAAATGGATTTTTCTTTTTGTCTTTTATAAAAAATAAAATTGTGTTTTTGTGGGAATCGATCGATCCTTTGTAAAAACCTAAGCTATGTATCAAAACCTGTAAATTCTCCACAAAATTTTGCATCTGTACACTTTGTTTTTATTAAATAGTACCTTAAAAGAAGAATAGGGTTTTGTTTTGTTCATGGGTTAGATTCTTCTTGGGTACCCCTCTTTACGTTTTAGCCACTTGCAGCAGTCCACGTTAGCATATTGCTCGAGGACTTGTTCTATTCCTTCACTATTTTCTTCTTTGAATGTCCTCAATTTTTTTCTTTCTAAATATAATATTCTGTGTGTCATTTTCTTGTTAGAATTTACAGTATTTGACTCAAATGCATGGAGGAAATGTATAGATTGACAGTCGTTGTTTGCGGGTGTGGCATCATCAAGATTCACACATGCAATTAACTGATAAAGTTGTTTGAAAGTGAGAATCTTGATGATGCTGCATCGGCAATAAACCACTATACAAAAGAGAGGAGAACTCCACAGTCAGTTTCACTTTTCTCACTTCAATGATTTGGTATGCTTTCTGTCTACTGTTTCAGGTAAGGGTTTTCTAAAAAATTTATTTTGCTTCTCTAGTTTTAGGAATTTCTTTATTTTTGTTAATGGTGCTCATATTTATATATCATCAGTAGTATTTGTAGGTCTTATTATGGCCTCATTAACTTGGCTCTGCTTAAATTTTTAGATCTGTGATTATTCTTCTGATAAAAGCTTGATTCGGGTACAAGGGTTACCTGAGCAAGTCTGTTTATGCAGAGAGAGATGGGACTTTGTCTATGGTACTGGGATTTGAAAGGAGAGTGTTGATCAGCCTTGACGATGCTGCAAAGCCTTTAAAGCATTTTGAAAAGGTAAATATTTTCAAACCATTTATTTATTTTTATTTTTCCTATTTTGTTAGTTGGTTTTCAGATCCACCCATGGACTGTCCGAATATTTGGCCGTTCGGAATAGAATCCAAAAGCTGATTTCTAATGGTTTCCAAAAATAGGGAATACATTCCAATAACAAAGTTGTTGTTTGGTAGAATGGTTGCTAAAAAACAACAATCTTAAAATTGCAAAAAAAGAGTCCATCACTAGAACTCGCGATTCATTATTTTGAAAGGGAAGTGATTTCCACACTTTGTTTTGATCCTGATTTTTCTTAATTTTACACTTTGTTGCTTAATTTTGTCTCTTAATTCTTCTTTGATTTATTTAATTCAGTGGTTAGAAAAATATAGGGGAGTGCAACATGTGAAAAGAGTAGTATATAAATCTCTCCCCCTTTGAAAATACAAAAGCAATTAATATTGTTAGATTTCAAAGTCGAGTTAAGGTCTCTTCAATGTAAAGATGCCTGTTATCAAACATGAAAACAGTACTCAAAGTTGTTACCAAATAAAATTTTAAAAGTTCTGAATACAATGGAAATCTTCAAATTGTATCATCATTTTAAAATTTATTACTTTTGAATCGTGAACAAATAACAAGCTTGGTTTTTTCCTATCTTTCTATTGCTCAAAAATAGAAATGTGTGAAAGATGTTTTAGATCGTCTCTGTGTATGATTTTTTTCCTCACTTGTTTTGGGTGGTGGGTTGACGCTATTTGATTCAAAGAATTAATTGTTTTTAGAAAAATATTTCAAGTGGTTCGATCTCTAGCTGTGAAATCAGTAGATCATTGAAAATTAGAATCGGTTTGGGAACTTCGATATGCAAAATCTTGGTCGGAAATGGTCACACATTCTCACTGCCATTTTTGTCTATGCCTATACAATTGTTTGAGGACCAACCAAAGAGTGACTCGTCTTCCAACTTGGGACCCTTGAGATGTAACCTCACTCCCCTCTCATTCATCACTCCTCTCAAGGACATAATATTCAGTACTCCAACTATTTTCTCACTTCTTCAGTAATAGTAACATCCGATGCTTCAGTCATTTCAAGATCATAGAGATCTGTGTGCCTCTATCACTATCCATGATACTTTCACATCTTATTGGGTCTCAATTAGGCTACGTAATAAGTACCATCGTAACATGAAGATATAGATATATCTTCAGTCATATGCAAATATCTTCCGTACCTATATCTATGAATTTTATATTTTTTATGTTTTGATAATGAGGAAAACCTTATGAACCACCTCTGTCATCAGGTACATCATTTTCTGGTTAATCATGCATACATGTTATATATATCGATCTCCAAACATGCATTGAATAAATTAGAGAGGTCCAAACTCAAGATTTCCAGTTATAACATAGTGAACTACAATGCTAGGACCACTGATTTCCAATTCTCACTGTTAAGGTAGGAGTTGATCTTCCCTTAATGCCAAATCGTAAAATTTCGGAATGGAAATATACTTAAATTAGATAATAAAGTATGAACTATGACCACCTGATCACTCTGGCTTATTTAGAGAACTTGCATATATAGCAAGTCTAGAATTTTAATGCATTTTCTTTCAACTATTTTCTCTCTTTCTTCCATTTCGTACAAAACGCATACTTTACATAGATTTCAACACTTTCTTTCTTACAATTACATATATATTAACCCCTCCTTCATTCACTTATTCTGCTCATGAACCTATATTATCATTACTTTCGATGTTTAATTAAGACTTGAATCTAGCGTTGGTATTAATTTCTGCTTAAGATAATGAGTCATAATTAATTAATAATCATACGCATTCCAATTATTGACACAACTCCGGTCACTGCTCTTTCTTTTATTAGTGATTTTAATTGTCCATTACACGCATTCCAATTGTTGACACAACTCCGGTCACTGCTCTTTCTTTTATTTGTGATTTTAATTGTCCATTACACAATTTATTTATTTTTAAAAAATGCATGGAGCTGATGTACTTTAGCATCGTCTTCTATATATAGTTGATAGTTTATGGTTTATCCTGTGTGGTCATGATTTCATTTCAAACTTCTTACCCTTTATATTGGGATCTTTAGAGCATCCTCAACTCTATATGAGGCTAGAAAAGTTGTGGATATAGCCTAATTTAGAGCTCCGAGGAATCTTAAGGGCTCTAAAAAAGAATCTATCCCAATAAGGGGCTATATATATTTCGGGCTCTATATAGGGCTATATATTTTATTATGTAGTGATTTGATTATGCGGTAAATTTATTATTGTCTTAACTTCTCTAAACTTGATTTTTGGACATGTTATCTTAAATTTTAATTTATGAACTTTTTAATCTAAAAATATTCAAATTCTGATAAAGTTAGATTTCATCAGTTATGCATCGTTGTAGGTTCTCTTATCTCAATCTCATCCGTTGGCTTGTTTCTATGAAATCAGACAAAATAAGATTTCGTTTCATAACAATCATTGGTTTTGATTATCTTATTTCAATCTCATCTGTTGGTTTGTTTCTATGAGATCAAACAAGATAAGATTTCATTTCATAACCATTGGTTTATTTCTCTGATATGACACATTCTCCGAAATCAAACAAGATTTTCATTTCATAACAATAATTGGATTGGATTATCTTATCACAATTTAGTCATGTTATTTGTTTATATTTTCGGTTTAGGTCTCTAAACTACCAATGTTAAATTTCATCAATTTTTTTTTTGGATTTTTCATTCTAGAAAATTAAACACGAAGCACAACATTTTTTTCTAATCAATAACACAAAAAATAATAGTTGTTTGTATATGTTTTCTTACTTAAACAACAAACAGTTGAAAATAAACTCTTAAAATCCTAAACGGTTGAAAAATAAACCCTTAAAATCATTTTTTGGAATTAAAAATGGGGCTCACCCATTTCTAAACTAAACGAAAACAAAGACTGGGCCCTCAATTTGGTGTGGTCCCCCTACTTTTTGGGGCTAGATGTAGCCTAACTTCTTACTACCCAATGATTGAAGTTGCTAGCCTTTGTGGTGGATATAGCACCATTTTCCGGCCAATTAGGGATGAAATTTTTCATTAAAGCTACAAATGTGGTAGCCTCAAGGAGAATAAAGCCCCCATTGAGGATGCTCTTATAGCTTACTATTGTGTTCTATATCATTCTAATTGTCCTTTGAGTGTGTCTCCTGACCTCTATACTTCTTATTTATACTTCAGCTATGAATCATGCATGTACTATATCCCATATACGTGCTTTATTCTCTGCTTGACTAGAAGTGTGTTTGGAAGTCTTTTTAAATAACGGTTAACGCGTTTAATGAAAGTACTTATAGTTACCAGTTTTTAGTAAAAATGCAAGTAAATCTTGAAAAATCACTTAAAATGCTTCATGCAAGAAGCACCATCTAATATGTACTTCAAGTGCTTTTAGAACCCAAAAGCCCTTTCACTACAAGGGTTTTAGTCATTCTAAAACAATTAAGTTATATTTATAGATGCTTGGGTAAAATAAAAAATAAAATAAAATAAACTCTCAAATGTGTGTCTGTAGATGCTCTAAACAATTAAGTTATATATATATATATATATATATATATATATATAGGAATTGCTTAAGGGGAGGGATCCCCATTTTTTCAAAAAAATGAGGATACGCTCCCTACCGTTGGATTTGACTTTAATGAAATCATGTGGTTGAGATTATGTGGCCTGTGTTTTAATCTCAACCACACAATTTCATTAAAGTCAATCTAACGGTGGGGAGCGTGTCCCCATTTTTTTTGAAAAAATGGGGATCCCTCCCCTTAAGCTCTCTGTATATATATATATATATATATATATATATCTGTTGTTATATAGAGAAATATGTTGTGTCACCTTTCTACAACACTTATCACGTGATGAGTTTTGTAGATACAAAGAATATTTATATAACCTGTTGTGGAAAATGTACTATATGTGAAGTCAAGAAGTAAGATCTCTAAAAGATATATGCATGAGATCAAAAAACTAAAATGGTGTTAAAAAAAGGCACCGTCATGTATATCTACTGTATTAAAAAAAAATGGGCAAAAATCTCGTCTTCCATTAATTTTTATTTTCTGGAAAATTATCTAACCTTTATCTTTGCTAGGCTGCTAGCGAATATAGGGACTGATAGGCAATTTTCTTTGAGATCGTGATCATCTTTAGAAGCGATTTGAAGGCGCTCTTTTCTCATACATTCTATGTTGGTATATTGTGTTTATGATCATAAAAAATAAAAAAATAAAAAAACATTTTTGTTTTAGTTCTTGATGTTATTTATTTCTCTATTTTAAGTGGATCGAAAAACTAATAAATTTTGGGCATGTTTGGTGTATTTTATCTTTATTCGATCTCTTTATTTTCTATGAGAACTAGAGAGATGATACAAGATTTAAACAACAACTGAATAAAAAAACTTGAGAGATGTTGCAAGGTTCATATGAAAGGTAAACAAATTAGCATTTAGAAGGATTTCAAAAGACTTTCTAAGTGGTAGATTTTATAGGATTTGTAGAATTCAAATGCACTTTTGAGGATTGTGATGGATTTCGTTTGT